GCAGGAGGGATTCCCCCATCAACACCATAGTTGCAGGAAAGAAAATTGAATCATATATGGCTTGCCTTAACAGATATAGTGAATATTCAATTTGCAAAGAATACCCAATTGCATGCAAAGGTAATAAAAAAACAGTATTTTGCTTTTACATGATTGGATGATAGAGGGCAACAGTGCTTCATCTTATCCATAGCTAAGGAAAAATTCCTTTGCAAACAGCTTATTTGCCTTTAGTAAATCAACACCATTGTTTCGCAAAGGTCATCATCAAACATGTGATAAAAACGCTGTGTCCATATAATAGTTGTAGATTTATAAACATCTAGGTTTAATGGTTGTTGCTTGTATGATTACATAAATAACTATGCAAAGTTTCATTGATGTATATATTACTTCTATCAGTACTCATGTATGTTCAGCTATCTCATTGTATAGCATTGGTTTAAATAAATCAAGAGTATATTTTCCAAGAGTTATTTTACACATTTTAGAACTATGACATGTACATGTAGACAGGCAGTTGAAAATTTTTTGTACAAAGTTACAGTATTTTAGTGTATTTTACAGAATGAAATATATGAATGTGTTCACTTTCATGATATAAGGCTGCAGCAGTTGACTATCTTAAAAGTAATTAATTTTATTAAAGTACTAAAATTTTTGTAATACAAGTAATGGATTGCTCATCTTAAGCAGGCTTTGGGGCTCTGTATACTGGATTACAGGTTGCCTTCCTCTCTTTTTGCAGTTATGGGTAGAAGAGTCTAGGAATCAGAAGATGTTTTTTCTTTTTATACTTACATATTGACAGCTGTGTAATAAAAGTGAGCCTGGTAAAGATTTCCCTTAAGTTTAAATGTAGCATCAAGTGCTCAGATATTGTATGAATAGATTAAGCAATGACTGGTAGCTTGCATATGGCATTATATAGAATTATAATTCTATTTATTCTGTTTAATTTCTTACATTCCATCTTTCCACAGAAAAGTTGATATCATGAATTGATTGTGTTATCTTCTGAAAGTTGCAGCATAGCACTTGTAATATTTATTCCTTATTAAGATACAGTATCTCACAGAAGTGAGTACACCCCTCACATTTTTGTAAATATTTTATTCTATCTTTTCATGTGACAACACTGAAGAAATGGCACTTTGCTACAATGTAAAGTAGTGAGTGTACAGCTTGTATAACAGTGTAAATTTGCTGTCCCCAACACACAGCCATTAATGTCTAAACCGCTGGCAACAAAAGTGAGTACAACCCTAAGTGAAAATGTCCAAGTTAGGCCCAATTAGCCATTTTCCCTCCCCTGTGTCATGCGATGGGGAGCAGGTGTGTTAAATTTGGAAATGTGACGGGTGTACTCTTTCGGTGAGATACTGTATATTTTACAGATATTTCATGGTGTTTTCTTGTCAAGAGTGGTATTGTAGAGGACAGCATCCCATCTGTATAAGTCCAGAGTGTTGCAGAGGAAGGAAGCTTTAAACCCTCTAGGGATATAGAGATCAGTATGGAAACATAAACCAGTTGTAAGGGAATGTGTTACATTTAAATACATTTAAAATGGAAAAGGATACTACATGCTACATGCTGACATCAAAATGATAGATGTAAGTCTAATATTGTTGGGCCTAGACAAACCAAGCATATTTTTAAATTGATATTATAGCGTAATTTAATGCCAGAAGAGGCATACTATGCCTGAAAAATAATGAGCATAAATCTGAATCACTGAGGTAGTAAGTGAAAATATTCAAACCATGGTATCTTACAATTTATCACAAAATGGGTTTATTCAGTTAGCAATATGAAATTGTAATGATGCAGACCATAATTATTTGCTGTGGGATGCTGTACTTTGCACATTGTCAATGCTATTTACAGTGTCTTACTGAATAAGCCTGTACATATCATAGGTTTAGATGATGAAATATACATATTCTGACAAGAAGTGTTTGTAATACAGATTTACATATTCACTAAAACATTTAAACAAAGTGCTAATAAAAAAATAAGAATCTAGCTGGAGTAAATTATACTCAGATATGTAATATTATTTTTATTAAGTCAGTTTTATTAAAATGCTAGTTCTCTTCCAGCCATGATGATCCTTTAGGTTTTATTTTTTTAATTTGTAGATGCTGAAGGTAAAATTCTAGGTTGGCGAATCAGACAGTTTTGAGGTCTTGGTTCACACTGGATCCGTCTTTGAAATCGTGCAACTTCACATGTCAGTGCGATTTCAGGTACGGCTTGGATGACATCTGTGTAAGTTCATGCACAGATGTCTATGCAAGGCGCACCTGATGTCACAAAAAGTAGTACAGTAATTTTTTCTTTTAAATGGTGCAGCACCAGAAAGTCAGAGTTTCACCGGTGTGAACCAGGGCTTAGGATCAACCTAACGCGGGCATCTGGTAGGATCACACTATTTTAACTTAATTCGTCAGAATTATAGAACATACCATAGAGTGGAATTTATCATTTTTGCCTGGAACCTGCCACTTCTAATTACAGGAAGTCCAAATTTGTAGATGCAGTGAATCCTCAGAGTAGATGCAGAAGTCCTTAGAATACCACCAGGAACAATTTTTTTGCCAAAGTTTCCAAAATATGTTAAAGCCAAACACTTTTTTTGCCATTTCTTTGCAGTTTTGGACACACTTTTGTACAGAATACTGTTTTGGGAAATTATATTGAATCTGAATGTTCACAGCATCCCTATCTGATGTGATCCACATAATTAAAACAGTGGGAGGGGGGACAAGATCTGCTAAACTCAAGTGATTAGATTTGCCTATCTCACTCAGATCTGTGAGTACAAAAGAGATAAGGTAGAGCTTTGCTATTTTCCCCTTTACATAGAAATAGGTTGATCACTCAGCTTGCACCCGAATCATAATTGAGCACCACATATAAAAAGTGTTCGCCTTCTTCTCTTTTCTGAAGTTTTATACAGTGATCCCTCGTTTTTTTTTTTCGCTGTTAATGGGGACCAGAACCTTCCGCGAAAGCTGAAAAAACCGCGAAGTAGTATTTGCCCCTAGGAATTTTTGTGTATGCGGGTACTGTACAAGAATGTTTTAAATATATAAACAGTATTCATACTTTACTCATTTAAGACAAAAATTACAACAGTACTGTACAGTATGGTATTTACTTAAACGTGTCAGTGCTAATTACAATAGGGTTAATTACAAAACCTTATACAGTAATAAACATTAATCAACATTGCTTTCTGAGAGAGGCGAAGAGTCTTGTGTTGGTGGTGGAGGAGAGGCTCTCACTTGACTCGGAGACTCAAGATACAACAAGGGAAGATGCTAAGTGAGGCTGCAATGATGCGCAGACAATCAACTCACAGGGATAAATCCACTCGTACTCTTATTGGTCGATGTCACACCGGAAACCAATCACGCGCCTTTATGAAAGCCCGTGGTATGTACAGTACTCTGAGTCAACTCATCTCTTTGGTTGACATGCAGGGATCCTTCTCTCTCGCGTATCAACATGAAACAACGCTCCTTTCCACAATGTGGCTGCTGACCCGCGAAGTACTGAAGCCGCAAAACATGAAGCGCGAAGTGGCGAGGGAACACTGTATTCCAAAGTGTATGACCAGTTTTTAACAAACTGCAGATAACCAGTAACACAGCACCACCTTAGACCATATAACACTCCACACACATCTCTCAATGATCCTTGCTTACAACTTACTTACTACATGTATTTACTACCTTCCTAGGAATTTGTATAATGCTATAGAATTACACTGCATACTATGTAGGATTATGTAATTTAACTGTATTTTCCTTCAGTTTTCAATAAAGAAGAATATTTATTTCCCTTTTTCCTCACGTTTCAGGAAATTATTCTAATCTTTTTTAAATGCTTCCTATGTATATTTTGACTTCCTTTGAGATGATGGACAATGAGCTGACATAAGGAAGACAAATGAGGTGGCAAGACACTGGTGTGGATTGCTGCACTTTTATTATGATAATCTGTGTTTGTACTGTGATAACATGTCTATATCAGAACCTTTTGTCCTTAGTTTTGTCTTAAGAAAGAGGAAGCAGCTAAAGTAAGAATGCTTGATAGAGCATTTACCGTTGCATTGGAGCAGTTTGTACAAGTTTGTGCTATTTTATTAAGTAACATTTTCATTGAGAAATAAAACACAATACTTATCTGTAAAAAAAAAGAAATAAAACACTACTAAGGGATAAAGATCTGCTTGCTTGCTTCTGTGCTTCAGACACTGAGATAAACTATGGGGTCAATTTACTAAAACTGGAGAGTGCATCTGGTGCAGCTCTGCATAGAAATCAATCAGCTTCCAGTTTTTTTTTTCGTCAAAGCTTAGTTGAACAAGCTGAAGTTATAAGTTGATTGGCTACCATGCACAGCTGCACCAAATTTTGCAATGTGCAGTTTTAGTAAATCATCCGCTATGTCTATCTTAAATCTTTCTGTACATTTAAGAGAGAAAATGAGAAAATACAAGAGCAGAGGATATGAATTCTGGGAAATCCCCATGTCTACTAATGCAATACTGTTGCCCTGGTTGCAGCAAAGGAGAGATTTGATTTTGTTTCACACACACAAAAAATAATATATATTTATTTATTTGTTTTTATGCAACTTTTTTTTAGTGAACGCATCATTGGGCTTGTGTAATGTGAACAAAGTTTGAAAAGCAAATTATTAAATATCCACGTGTTGCTGCTAATAGAGGGTGGACTATTGAAAATTAATTTCTGGCTGTTTGCTCTAAGTTACTGCACATTGCTTTGATTTTACATCTTATGTACGAGCCTATATTCGTACCAAAGATACAAAATACCTGGTGCAACAGGGCAACTTTAATCATGTGACAATACAGTGTCTGGAATTTACTCAATTTCCTCTTTTATCATTGTATACAGGAGAAGCCGTACCAGTGTACAGAATGTAATAAGGCCTTCAGCCAGAAACGTGGACTAGATGAACACATGAGGACTCACACCGGGGAAAAACCGTTCCAGTGTGATGTAAGTGGAGCAGCGCTTTGCTTTTGTGTTATTGCAATATTCAAGATGTTTCTGGTTCACATGCTGAGAAGCAAATGAAAAGTGTGTCATTATGACCAGAAACTCTGAAAAGGAGAAAGTTGGCCAACAATTGTTTTCCACTTGCAAAAAGAAAGTGAAGAACTCTCCTCTTACCGCTTTCTCATATATCCTGGTAGGGATCCCCTTTTAAGAACTCTTGCCTGTCAGCTGTTTTTAGAGTTTAAAGATGCTCTGAGGGTGCTGCTCTGTGTTTTCACAGAGCAGCATCAACCCGGAAACTCACTGAAAGTTTCCGAGCCAAAGCTGTATTGCTGTATAGATGATCAAGCAGCTGTAAGCCATGCTTCTAAAAAAAAATCCCTATTTGCGTACTTATTTTGGGTTACTGACTTAATGGGGTTGCTTTACTAAAGTAGCAGAGAATGTTCACTTAGTAAAGTTAATTTTCGCATAGCTCACTGAAAGAAGTGCAGCTGTGTTTGTTTTAAATACCCACTCATGTGCAGGAGTTGTACAAATGAGACTTTTCTGGCTAACAAAGTTAATAGCAGGCATCTTCCTCTGTCCTCAGATAGAACATTTGCTTTTAAAATGCTGTGCTTGAAATATTTGAGCCCTAATTTAAAGATGATCCCCATCATACAACAAAATTTCTTAATCGTACATCAAAGGACACAGAATTAATATTTCAGATACACACATAGAGTTTTGCTGTCCTACAGGAGAATCAGACACTGGCAACAAAAACAATGTTGAATAGGCAATATAGCCCCTCCCACTCCCATCATGCAAATTTGGACAGGAAAGTCTCACCATTGAAGGAAGGCCTGTTAGTGTTCTAGTAGGCAATTGAACGTCTTCTTTTCTCAGACAGAAGCATTGCCTTTTTCAATAGACTTTTTCTCTATTTTTATCAATCATTCTTCTACAGTCAAGTTTTTTCTAATACTGTACAGCCAAGAGTGTTCATTTTACTGTTTTCTGAATTGGCCAGTACTTAGTGTAGCCTTGGAGGCCATACCTTGACCCTGTATTGAGGGAGACAGCCTGTAACATGACCTGCAGGCACTGAGCACTGTTTGCGCAATTCCAGATACCGAGTTTACTGAGTAAGTTAGCTGCATACACATTACAGGTCCAGGGTTGTGATGACCTGAATTCCATCTGGTTTAATTGTGTCCCTTGTGGAGAGTCGAAGACTGCCTGGTATGTGCTTGATACTTTTCAGTACTGTACCATCTGTCTACTGCAGAGACGATCCAGACCACTGCTGCAATAAGTTTCTAGGGCTCTGCCCTATACTATGAAGCCTTTGCCTTCCCTTCAGGGTTGACAGAAGCATTGTGAGCAGTGACACATTCATTCACTGCGCAGGCCACAACACCTCTTTAAAATAAGTTGTGCACCCTAATAGAAGGGCTGTGACATGTCTTTAATACCTTTATGATATCTGCACCACTCTGGCCTGCGCATGTGCCCTAGCCGCTAACATGCAGTGCCAGAACTTTACAGCAAAAACTCCTCATTCCTCTCCTGCTCGTGAGGAGAACTTCTCATGCTTCCTTGCAAGACTTTGGTCCTGTCCTGGTCACCAATGACCATTTATCTCTCCTGTTCTGCAGTTCCTCCGTTAGTAACTCTTCCTGGTACTACCTCACTTGCATACTGTTAGTATGGGGGCCTTTCTGCTCTGCAGTTGGTCTGTGAGTACCCCTACTTGGAATTTTTTCACTTCACATACTGACAGTATGATGGACTTTAGGACTAGGTGAAATGGTCCTGCAAACCTTTGCAGCTTGCAATCTAATAATAGCATTGGGGTTGCTAGCTCAGTCCCTTCTGCAGGTGATAGCACCACTAGCCCAGATCACTATACTCTGCTTGTGTCCCTAAACTCCTTACAGTTTTCATAGCTTCCTCAGGAGTGCTCCCCTCCTCTGTGTTATCCAATGCGGAAATTTCTGCAACTGTGAAATAATATGGAGAGATTTCAGCCCATTGTATCCGACTCAGAACGCAGGGATCACAGCATACTCCTATGCCCTCTACTCCAGAGTCACTTCTGCACATTCAACTGATTATGATGAGTGTACCTACCCTTTTGGATGAGTTGTACTTAAGGAAGTTTCTTCAGCTGACATAACAACTAAGCCTAAGGATGTCATCTTGATCCTTATTGATGCAGTGTACACATGTCTAGAACCGAAGCAGCCTGTGTCTGAATCCGTTTAACATTGCCATTCTGGGCTCCTAAAAAAGCCCCCAGCCTGGTAAAAAGTTTTCAGTGTACCCGTTACTGCAACTTGATTTGTGTGGTGTCTGGTCTGACCCAAGCACACAATTTGCTCGTCACAAGCATTCTCTATACCAGTACCCTATTGTGGAGGAGCTAGTTAATAAGCAGACAATTCCCAGTGTGGATCTGGCTATTTCCTGCACTGTACAAAACACTGCCCATTTCCTTTTGCCATTAGCCATTTTGAGGACATCCCAGTGTTTAATGATTTTTGGGATCATAGACTGGAATCTCTTCTAAGGTCTACTTCTTCCTGACAGGCCCTGCCCTGCAACTTCGTATTGCTTTCATGTCCATCTGCCAGGTACCTGGGGTGTATGGTCCAGGGATCTGTCTAAAGCTCAGCAAACACATTACAATTTTTCTGCACAATCTTCTTTAGTTCTACTAAAAAACTATGTAGTACAAGGGCTTGTCTTGTTAGATACAGAATGTTGATTGGATAGTTTAGATTAACCCTCCTATTACATGGGTTTGGTAAATTAAAAGTTTAAAGTTAGTTGTTAAAAAATTGTACAGTGAGATAACATGTATGGTGACCTTTAACATCCTGGCTCAGACCTTATAAATCATTCAGTTTTTCACTTGGTCCTCATGCCTCTTGCCCTGTCCTCTGTAGGATGTCATACAGCTAATATCTAGAATGGGCCTTCTATCTCTACAAATGCAGAGGAGCCTTTTGGCTGAAATGCAAGTATTGCATATGCATTTTGATGGTATTTGCCTCCTTAGAGCCTCCTTAGACAACCTTATCATGGAAGGAAATAGCTTCCTTTTTCTTAAGCATGAACAGGCAAAGCCTCAGGCTGAAAAACCTTCTAATCCTGAAGTTAGAGTGAGTTCCTTTAATTCCTCAAAGTTGTTTAAGTCTACGTTCGAACCTTGGACTCATCTGCAAGCCCTGATCTCCAAAATTTTCGAAACCTACAATTGCCATAACTCTTCCTCACTATGAGGAGATGCCCTCACTTCTGCAAGTAGGAGGATGTCTGTTAGCCTTGTGACCACCTGGGCAGAAAGAATTTCGGATGCATCGATAAAGGACATGGTATGCAGAACTCCAAGCAAGAACTTCAATCTCTGTATCCGCTATATGCTCCCAGGGAGTGCCCAGGGAGTCCTAGATAAAGAATATTTCAGGTTTTCTACTCAAACCTGTGGAACAACTGTGTACTTTTCTCTTTCACCCATCCACTGCATCTCCAGTTTTCATTAAGTTTCTAGCCCCTAGGCTTGTCCTGCTTTGCTTGTAGGGCATTCTTATAGTGGCAAACTTGAGCACCCTTCTACTGTGGAAACAATCTGCACAGACTTTTGTTCAATGTCAATGTTCAACAAACTGTTCAAACTCTGCAGAGGTTTGGTTGGACTGTGAACCTATATCAATAAGAGCTGGAACCTACTCATTGAATTTAATCTCCAGCTTTCTGTCTAAGTACTGCTTATTCCAGGGTTTTTTCTTCCACAAGACAACTCTTGCTTTTCCAGACCCATGTTGGGACTCTGAAGTCCAGGAGCCCTATAAACCTCCACCTTTGTATAAGTGTTTGGGGCTTGATGATTGCCTTTTTTGAGGCAGTTCTGTATGTGCAATTCCACTCCAAACTGTTAGATCTCAACATTCTGGCTGCATGGGACAAGAAGGTGCATCTGCCACCCAGGGTCAAACTCACATCTCGAGCTCTAGAGTTGGAAAAAGCCTTCCTTCTGTTTGTCTGGACAGTTCTCAGAGTAGATGCCAGACTAACAGGCTGGAGAGGAGTCCTGGGCACCTTTTCATCTTTTCATTGTATTCTGTTGTTTGTTCATCCCTTTTCATTGTATTCAGTTCATGTTCTCTAGGTTTTATGAGGTGGATGATTGGGCCTTTTTGATGCCAGATTCGGATATAAGGTCCTTCAGACAGCTCTGTGAGCCCATCTAGCCCCCAGTTTTGACATATGTTTGTGGGCCCGTTACAGTAGTTCCACAGTTGCTCATCCTGTGTCCCTTGATGTACTCCAAGAAAATGATTTTGCAGTATGTCAGATATCCCCTTTTTTCTCCCACTTCATTTTAAATATTCAAGAGAAATTTACTGAACATGATCTGCACAGGTTCTACAATACTGTGTGGTGCTGTGTTTTTAAAATCTTGATGTTTACTTCTGGTATACAAACTCCCCTTTTGTACTTGATGTGTGTCACTTAAAACAGGACTGCATCTTTCTTCTGTGTCAATTGCATTGGATATGTGTTAAATTACATATTTTCACTGTTGTTTTTTTTTTTTTGCTTTATTAGGTTTGTGACCTGTCCTTCAGTCTCAAAAAAATGTTAATTCGACATAAATTGACTCACAATCCAAATCGTCCGATGGCAGAGTGCCAACTTTGTCACAAAAAGTTTACAAGAAATGACTACCTCAAGGTGCACATGGAGAATGTGCATGGAGAGACTGACAGTTAATTTTTAGTTGACAGTTTACAACATGGATTGTTTCATCTCACCTATTTATAACATATATCAGTTAGATGGACATGGTTTTATAAGTACAAAAATTAAGGGATATGTATGGAGCTGAGTAAAATAATATGGCACTTTATAATATATATAGATTATACTTTTTTCAGTGTTTCATGGTACATTTGTTCAACAAAAGGGACTAATGTCAGATTTTTGTCCTATGTTTACACTTTGCAGTATCTTAAAATGTAGTTTGTCTGTTAAACACTTTGATGGTAATGCTTTTTTTATCCAGATGTTATTTTTGATTGCCTTTT